TGGCGGCGATGGCAGTGGCCGGGCAGGAGGAGTACGCGTACCTCTACGAGGACTCCGCTCACCCCGCCGAGTTCCTGGAGGCGTTCCGGGCGTTCTACCTGGACGGGCTGTTCACCGACATCACCCTGCAGTGCGCTTCGGGGGTCATTTTCCACTGCCACAGAGCCGCCTTAGCAGCTTGCAGCAATTATTTTAAAGCCATGTTCACAGCCGATATGAAAGAGAAATCTAAAAACCAGATCAGACTTCCCGGGCTCAGCCATGCCGTACTGGAAGCCCTCGTGAATTATGCATATACATCACAGATCCAGATAACAAAGAGAAATGTCCAAAGCCTACTCCAGGCTGCAGACCTCCTCCAGTTCGTGTCAGTAAAGAAAGCCTGTGAGCAGTTTCTAGTGAGGCACTTAGATACCGACAACTGCATAGGGATGCACTCCTTTGCGGAATACCACGATTGCTCGGAGCTAGAAAAAGAATCCAGGAGGATATTGCTATGGCAGTTTGAAGAAGTGTGGAAGCAGGAAGAGTTTCTGGACATTGGCAAGGAGAAGCTCTCTTTTATTCTGTCCAGAGAGAATCTCAATGTTTGGAAAGAAGAGGCAGCTGTCGAAGCTGTCATTAAGTGGGTTGCACACAACGTGGAAGAAAGAATTGAAGACATCTATGAACTGCTAAGCTGCATCAAAGTCGACTTAGATAACATGTATTTGAGGTCAGCTTTAAGCCTGCAAAAAAAATGCCGGCTTAATGACAGTAAGATAAGGTCACTCATTTGCAATGCCCTGAACCCCAATCCCAAAGGTCTTTCCAGAAGACCCACAGCAGCCATGTATGTGATAGGGGGATATTATTGGCATCCCCTATCAGAAGTGCATGTTTGGGATCCTTTAACCAACGCATGGATCCAGGGAACAGAGATGCCAGATCACACCAGAGAGAGCTATGGGGTCACGAGCTTGGGACCAGACATATATGTGACAGGAGGTTATAGAACGGAGAGCATTGAAGCCCTTGACACCGTGTGGATATATAACAGTGAGAGAGATGAATGGACAGAAGGCTGCCCCATGCTTGACGCAAGGTATTATCACTGCGCAGTTTCCTTGAGTGGCTGCATCTACGCGTTGGGTGGTTACCGAAAGGGAGCTCCCGTGCCAGAGGCTGAGTTCTATGATCCTTTAAAAAAGAAATGGTTTCCTATTGCAAACATGATCAAAGGTAGGTAAGCTTTTGGTATGCCATTTGCCTCAAGTGTCGATCCTTTTGCGTTTGTCGCTTTTAAGTGCCATGGACACATTTAGGGTCAAGTTCTAGTGAAGTCCGTGGGAATCTCCTGTTAATGTTGGTGTGCTTTGGTTCAGGTCTTTACTAGCTAAACGACTGCAAACATCCAAACGCTATGCTGGGCTGTGCCACTGAACATTAGGGTGGGAAAGCAAGCAGTAGTCTCAGTTTACTTTGCCTTCTTTCAGGAGTAAAATTTCTGTTCAAATTAGAAAGAAATCAGAAAACTACCTGGGATTAGAGTCCATTCAGTAGGTGGTCAAAGAGCAAACTCCAATAAAGGGATTGTATTATTTTAATATAAGACCATATTATTAAGATTTTCTGTGCATTTGTTTATAAAGGTGTCATCTTAATTTAAAACTTCTTGCGTGCAGTTTCCTCATATTTCAGTGTATCATGTCTTTGAGATCCTTAATTTAATCTTTAATGTGAGGATAATGAAAAGCACTAATACCTGTTTCTAGCAGCCAAAATAGCGCTCTATTAAAAAAGTATGAATTTGGACCACAGCCTAACTAAAGGGTATAATTTTGTTATAAAGTTTATAAACAATTACATATTTTATCATATCTTTTAATAAATTAATGTAATTATAAAATTTTACTGTAAGTTGATGCAACATAGCATTTGTCTGCATACATGAGAATTTTTGGAGGTATCTGTAATGGGAAAAAACACTTCTGCTCCTACAACTTTCTTCATTGTTCGTATATTTTCCACAAACATTGCTATTATTCTCTTTATTTCCTTTAAAAATAGAAAAGCTAGGTTAATACTGTGAGCAGTTACACATTCTGTGCAGTTGTTTTGTCCCATTTTCTGTGTGAAACTTCTTAGATGCTTAAAAAAACCCACACTAATTTCCTAATTTTGGTCCATTTTATCTTGCCAGATCCCTTGTTTTGTTTTGTTCTCCTAGAGACAGCGTTAACATGGCTCCATTCGGTTTGTGTCCTTGTTTATACAATAGCATAATTAATAATACCATGAGAAAGACTATAAGTATCAGAAGAGATAACCCAAGACACTCAATGATCTCAACTCCCATCGTCTTTGTCTTTGCCATGAGTGGCTTTTAAAAATCCCTTTAACTTAGGGAAATATTGAAAGTAATTCCCTATTCCAAAACCAATGTGACAAAGTGTCTTTAATTACTGCATAAAAATTCTGTGAAAGACTGTGTGGCTGTATTATATGCAATATGGATTGGTTACTGCAGTATTATTTAATCGCTCGTGACTTATGCTGATAAAATAAGGTGTCTTGACAAGTTTATTTAATTTCACATTCATTTAAATACTTTAAGGTATAATTTCACCCTAAAATATTAATTAACAAGACATTTGAAATGGGTTTATGGATGGAAGTGACCATAGTAATTGCGTGCAGTCTGAAGGTGTGTTGTGACTTTCACACTGTGTACAGGTGTTGGAAATGCCACTGCCTGTGTCCTGCATGAATTCATCTACGTAACCGGAGGTCACTATGGGTACAGGGGAAGCTGCACCTATGATAAAATCCAGAGGTACCATTCAGGTAGCAATGAGTGGAGTATAGTCACCACAAGTCCGCATCCAGGTAAACAATAATTTCTGTAATGAGGGTAGAGCTTGATTTGATTACCTATATCTGGGAGTCTTTAAGCCCACTTGAGTTTCTGGCATGTTCCTAATAAAAAGGAGCAATGCCTGTAGGGCAGCAAGGGTCAGAGCGGGATCATCACCCATTTCCAGGCTTTGAGAGGGGAAGGGAAGACCCTCTTCAAGCATCTGTTCTATAGAAATCACTGTATAAATACTGAACTAAGGAACGGCTGCGTTCTATTAAATAATGTAGTAAACTAACTTTCTATAAAATCTGTCTATTCATAGGCATTTGGCAAAAATAATATGAATTTTAAAAGGGTTTTCTCTATGTTCTACATTTGGTAACAATACGTTTTTAAAGCAGTTCTCACTAAGCGCTGATGCTCACGGCTGTATCTTCTGTAATGCCTTGAGCTTGCTTTTACCAAGTGTAGCAGAAAATCCTGAGGTGTCTCCTAAGCTCAGTGAAGAACCTCAGACACCGTCAGTGGTGCCCAGTGCTTGTCATGTAGCTGCAGTTTAAGTTAACATTATCATGCTGAGCTCAACTGTATTCTTTTCTTCCTGAAGAATACGGATTGTGTTCAATTACACTACAAAACAAGATCTATTTTGTGGGTGGACAGACCACGATTACGGACTGCTATGACCCAGAGCAAAACGAGTGGAAGCAGATGGCGCACATGATGGAGAGAAGGATGGAGTGTGGCGCAGTGGTTATGAACGGATGCATCTATGTAACAGGAGGATATTCCTATTCAAAAGGAACATACCTGCAGAGTATTGAAAAATACAACCCTGAACTGAATAAATGGGAAGCAGTAGGTAATCTTCCCAGCGCTATGCGGTCACATGGCTGTGTCTGTGTGTATAATGTGTAAACATTTAATTTCCATGTTGCTGCTACAGAAAACAGCTGATGCAGTATTTATAATAGCACTGATTACCTCATGAATGAGATGTATAATACAATCTCTTAGCGCACATCATTAAAAACTAGGTCTAATTTGTCTTTACTTTAAACTATTCAGAAATACAAATGTGGTAATGAGACTTCCATATATTTTTCAGTCCAATCATTCTTTGTCATGAAACTTTTCAAACGACTCTCTTGGAATACTTTTCGCAGCTCTATAGGAACTACTGTGAAAAACAGATTTCTTTTCATTAATCACTGGGTGGAACTATGATCTGGTGCTAAAGTGCATAAAGCCAAACAAGATACTCTGCATTTCTATGGACTACTGGGCTTAAGATGAAATCTTTGATACTCCAAAGGTAGCTATAGAAATGGTCCGTTGCCACAAGCTAAGCATGTGGTACATGCAGAGCAATATCACTTGGATAACTAGGTTATCGCATCCAGAAATCATGGGCAGTTACAGGATGCCGCCAATTATATGTTCAAGTGCCACAGCGGAGGAGAGCGCAGGCTGGGAATGAGGGAAGAAATGTCATGCAGTAGCCCCAGAGCACAAGCCAAAAGTGTGCACTAGTTTTCCAGAAGGAGAACAGTGCTCTGCAGTATGAGGCAGTTTGAGAAAAGTGCTCAGTTTGCCGTTCTCACACTGGCAGGACCCGTGGGAAATAATAAAAGACTCTGCATGGCTTTGCAATGTACTCTCTGGCTGATGCATTGGTATTGTGTTTTGTTTTTTTTTTTTTCCCCAGATAAAAGCCTTGCCATGGTAGCTATTTTTTAAAAATCAAATTATATGTCTTTGTGAAATAGAAGGAAGAAATGAGAGACACTGGAAAGTTGCTAACATCCCCCTGAGATACAAACTTCTCTATTTTGTTTAATGCCATTCGATCTTTTTAGAATGCTAAAATGTGACTTGAGCAAAGGTGACAACTGAAGAAACTTGTCAAAATATGTTATGTGTGGAGAAATTGAATGCTAAGTGGTCCTTTGGATTTATTTATTGTTTCTCTCAAAATGTAATATGAGATCTGCAAATTCTGTCGAGAAAGCAACTTGAGATGGGCAGGAAGGTTGTCATTTTGTCACCTCTTCACTGGGAGACGCCTGGGGCAGGCTCCCAGCGCAGCATGGCAGTGCCAGCACTGGCAGAAAGCAGAATCCATAGGTAGTATTTAAATAGCTGGTGGTGTTTTGACCCTGCCATCTCCAGCCGTCCCACCAGTCCTCATTTTGCATCCTGCCATGTAGGTAGTAACACAAACACATTTGACTGAATCGTTGTTGCAGTGACTTCTTAGGATTTGTTTTCACCTCATAGCTTGTATAGATAGTGTAATGTGGGGCTTTTTATTAGCCTGGTTCCCTGAGGGAGTGAGGTGCAACTGTGTTGTCTTTCTGTGCAACTGTCAGCTCCTCTCTGACACTGTGCTCACTTATCTGGGTTCAGCCATGCTCTACAGGGAGGTATAGGTCTTAAAAAGACAAATTTATTTTTTTTCCCAGGTTTTATGAAAATTAGGAAAGGGATAGAGGTGGGGAGAGAGAGACTGAAAGGAAGCAGGGGTTGTATGGAAAGTACAAGATGGCAAAGCCTTCCCAGTGCCGAGGAGGTGGCTGTGAGGAGCATTCCTGCTCCTTCTTGCCTTTGCTGCCCCTCACCTGGTCCTGCTTCAGCTGCTGTGGGGCCGTGCAGTCTGATAGTGGTGATCCAAATAAAGAAATGCCGTGGGGAGCAGAGAGGCTCTTTTAGCCTGGGTCAGTTCCCCAATCCAGCGTATAAAATGACAGCAGAAACAACTGTTAGACATTGGCATGAGAGGCAGTGACAACACAGGGCTGCTGTAGGGTGTGGTGGGAACTTCCAACACCAGCACTGCCTCCAAAAATGGCATTTTGGTTTTATTGGATTTATCAGATATGATGGAAGCAGCTTTCCAGGCAGGTAAGCCCTGAGTTGATAAGATTTCTTTTTCTTGATCATGAGCATGTTCAACATTTTCTTGTTCTTTTGCATTTTTGTATTATTTCTCACTTGCATTTGACCGCTGGTAGCAGGCAGCACTCAACTCTGAGCTTTAATGTGAAGTTCTGTGGTGTATATATAGTTCTTGTTTTGATGTCTTTGTGTGTCACCTTACTATATCAGAAGCTCACGTGTGCATGGGTTCAGCATTTTGCTTTGTTAGCTGTCCTGCTGAGAGCTATTTAATCCAATGGAATTTGTTTAAAGACTCTAAACTGTGAAGAAGTGTGGGGAACTGAACTCTGACGCTGTTTGAAATGTGTGGGCCGGGCAGGTGGGCAAAAGAAATAAAGTGAATTTGTGTCTCCTGGAAATCTCCACAGCCGAGAATTGTTCAAAGGCAGGTGGAGATTTAAAGGACAACATTGCAAGAGCATGAAGGTAATCTTTGTATTGAACGGAACTGCGATGAACTCAATGTGTGTATGTAATTTTTCAGTGCTAAATATGTACCCATGAAGCTTCATGTTTGTCGAAAAACATGAGCATGGAACAGCTGCTTGTGGATGGCCCTAAGGTATATTCTGGTCTGTATCCCGTCACTGACAGTTGTAAGTCGTTGCAAGGATGTAACAACAAGGCAAGGACTAACAAAACCTCCCAGTGTCCACCTGTCTGCTGCGTCAAAAGTAGATGCTTAATGTTGGTGAAAGCCAGCGCTGTTCCGGGGTTGGAGCACAGGCACTGGATGCAAGTCTGCTTTCTCCCTCGAGCGATACACTGCGCCTCCTCCGGCTCAGGGAAAAAAGCCTTTAGTTCTGACATGCTAGGAGTGTGTGCTGAGCTGGTGTCAACAAAAGTCAAGGACGTTACTGCCTAGGGCTTCAGTGAAGTCCGAACATTTTAGAGATTTTTGAATGCACTAGAATAAATGGAGTGTAAAAGCTCAGACTTGTGGTTAAATTTTAACTGGTGCTATTTTTTACAATCACCTACAATGCCCTTTTCAATTACCTCGTGTCTGTAGTACATCCTGAGAAAGCGTGTGGCCATAGGGTCTCGAGCACAGGCAGGAATGTGAATTTGGGGGAGGAACAGGGATTCTGGCTCCCGGTCAGCGACTCGTGCATCCGACAGGAGGGGGAAAGCTCAGCGCGGGGGCTCTTTTAGCCAACGGTGTGGTACGTTTTAGTAATAATAGTTGAATGTGAACACTACATTATTGTGCTATCAGACCTGTACTATGGTAGACTTTCTGTAAACTAGAAAATGAACTAATACAGAAGTTGAATCACTTGTTAAGTTAGTGCTATTTACGAAAATTTTTACTCGTGTGATTCCCGCGTTTGTAGCACTACAGATGTCTACAACACATCTATAGTACTTAAGCGAATGTTTGTAATATTTAATAAATATAGTATCAGCGTACAAATAAGCTTTTGAGTTTCTTTTCCCGTTAGCTGCAGAAGGTTGTGAACAGCAGCCCCGCACACCCTGCAGCGGCC